AAGGCAAACCTTTCGTTAATCTAATCAACTCTATCCTATAAATGTGAAGTATTTCAGTATTAACATGTGTGGCGTACCCATTTGCTCTAAATCTGCCTCATCTGCTTCCCGCTAAGTTTCTGATCTCTCACTTTTCTTCTTTTTGGCGAAGCACCAGATAACAGATGTGAACTTGTTGCTTCTTTTTCCTCAGAAAGTGATATACGTTCTTTCACTGTAGTCGGACCTTGAATTCTGCAGCGACTGTCCAGTTAAAACTCTGCTCCTTTATGATTCTGGATTCAAAATTCAAGACTTTTATCAGTCACAAACACAAGTGTACACAGTGTAACGCGCAGTGAAATGCATTTATGATTTCTCTTCCATGAGATTCCAAAACCTGATGCACTATTTATGAACTGGGCTGTATGATAAACCGCTGATGCATGTTTCAACTTATCTGTTACACTTTTAAAAAGAGCCCTGAGCTCCTTTCTGTTGTGCATTGTAAGGATAATTAAGATACAAGCACCTGCAGCACACGTTACATGCATCAGCACACACACATGCAGCCCAGTCACACCTGCACTGTGATCTACCTCACACCAATAAAAGAGTCTTTCCTGCTTTTGAGCCGCGGCTCTGCTTTCCCAAGCTGAAGGTATGCAGTCTTGGCCGCTCCGCCGCTCGGGCTTCGCTGTTTGTTTGTTCTTCAGCGGGTTTACGAGTCCTTACTGATGCTGTCACCAAAGTATGCCGGTTCGTAGCAGCACCGACTCTGGAACCAACAGGTTAATTTGATGGAGGGGGATTAAGGATACGCGGGAAAGCCATCCTCATTTGCTAGCTGTAATTTCTGAATACATCCCCCCCTCAGGGAAACTGATTTCTTCGAAAATGAATGTTTGAAGAAAAGGTGCCTGCCGACCACCTGCCTCATTAGATTGATCATTCCTGGTTCTGAGGTTTAAAAAACATTAAAATATCACTCATTAAGAGAGGCAATTTGTTGTGACCTTTAATCCTCTTGAGACTGTAACCAAAGTTTGCAACATAAAAAAGCGTTTTTTCAGTGAGATCATGAGTCCGTTTTTTTTCTTGCACTGCCTTTTAATCTAAGTAAATAACGCAGCCTGTGTCTTTGCCGTACAGTTCAGAGACTGTGTTTGTACTGCCATCTTACAACACATCCTTATCCTCAGAGGGGTTCTGTCCTCCCGCCGGCCGATTAACAAACTACTAAAACAACAAAGAGCAAAGTGGCTCTCAGGAATGAGGAGGGAGCAGAAAAGATATCTGAGCAAACTGTTGGAGTTGAGCTCTGCTGGTCTCCCAGTTGCTTGCATTCTGAGAGATTTTTGCACCTATTGCATCATGGAGCCGGCGGGGAAATGAGAAAGCAGCAGTGCTATGCGGTGAAATTAGCTCAGGCGTTCACCGCTGATATCAATGTGGAAAAGTGGGGGTGTGAATTCTGGTATTGCGGCAGCTGTGAGCAATGTTTAAAGCATCCGATGTGGCGCGAGTGGGGGTGTGCAGCCGGCCGAGTGGGCTCCTTAATCCATGCCAGGAGGGCGAAGTGGATGCAGGGAGAGTTTAATGTGATGGAGATGAAGTTAAAGCATTCTATTCCCTCTCTAGCTCAGAAGCCTTATTTTCAGATTGACCATGTTGTATTTCTACAATCAGTCCCACAAATTATGATCCCATTACCAAACCCCCTGCCCCGTTCTGCTTGGTTCTTCTATCTGCCTGCATTTTAGATGTCTGGTAAGTGGAGCAGAGTTCATCTGTTCTGACTAAGAACACCTGGAATCTATGTTTTCAGCCTATAAATCGTTGGCACCCTCCCTATCTCTCACTCACCTACCCGGGCATAACTAAAGCAGGGTTCTTGCTTTAGTTTTTTCCTTTTATTTGTTCAGTTTTTTTTTTTTACTGTACCTAACAGTACCATTCCTTATACGTCATAAATTTTGCATTTATGTATTCATGGTGTGTCTCCCTCCTCCAAACTCGGTTGTGACAAAACTGGGGGCTCGTCCGGGATTGAACTAAACTGCATTTAGAGTTACATTTTTAGGGAAACAGAACAGGCTGTCTGCCAGATTTTGTTTGTTTACGACATAATCATCACAAACACATTTCTAATCAATATATCTTGTGCTGCTTATCACTTTTCTGTTGCTCCTTTGCAGCCAATCAATCATATATTAAACTTGCCGGGACTCGTCACCCCAGTAACCAAAAAATGGAGAAGCTTCAAACAGGTTCATATTTTAACCCAAACCATAATAGTGTCCCTAAATTTAACCATGTAGAGCCTAAATCTAACCAAACAGCGAGTGTAAACTAGACTTAACTAAACGATGTGTCTCTCTCTGAGCTTGGTTTTGATAAAATCTGTGTCTCATCAGGGATTGAAACCCAGACATTCTGCCAGATTAGGTTTGTTTGTGACACAATGACTCCAAATATGTTTAAATTAATATAGATTAGCTCATTTAATTCATCACTTTTCTGTCGCTCCTTTGCAACTAATCAATTACATATTAGATGGTGATGGACTTGTCACACTAATAACCCAAAAAATGGAGGAGAAGCTTTAAGAATGTTGTAAAAGGTTTGTGTATTTTAACTTAAACCATCATCTAAATCTAGTCATGTAGTGTCTAAACCAAACAACGAGTTAAAACTAAACTTAAGTTAAAGAATAAAGTCTCCACACAGGACGCGATCTACATTCTCTTGAGTGAAAGTCCTGTTACTGATTTGTGCCTCCAGACTTCTCTCCTACCTCCTTACGTAAATGAGAAAGCAGTTTAGTTGTTTAGGAAAGTAATTTCTGAGAGAGGGGGGTTGTTTGGAGTTTACCCAGTGTGGTTTCTGAAGACAACAGACTTTCTCAGCCTGCAGAGGAGCAGAAGTTCCAACAGAAAGACAGAAGAAAATCCATTAAATCACCTTTCCTCTAACCTCCTAAACATCATCTGCACTTGTTGCATAAGCCGAGAGATCTGCCACTTAAATCTGCCACCAAAACATGCAAAATAACAAACAGCGTGTGCACTTGTTTTGCAGTGAAACCGCACACACATCCTCTCATTATTCGACCAGTAGGGAAACAATTAATAAGACGCGATGAGCCAAAGCATAAATCCGCCGTGGCTCTTCCCGTTTTGCAGTGGTGAGCACAGTGGGAGGGTTCAAAGACGTTGTGAAATAGCTCCAATATGTGAGAGAGTATTACATATTCAACCCCCCGCCCGTGAGTCATCTTCCCACATCTGACCACAAATATTACAGTGCATCTGCGAACTAAAACAATGTTGTTCCCCTCCGCTTCGCATCACTTCTTTCCCTCTCTGCCTGGACAGTGCCATGGGTATTTGTAAAGAAGCTTGAACAAGGGAGGGAACAAGTAAAGCAGTGTGTGGGAGCAGAAAAAAAAAAAGAGACATGACGGTGACAAAGATCTGTCCTAGAAAAGTGGAGGCGACGGCAGCGGGGATGCTGGTCAGAGTCAACAGGAGAACCTTCGTTTATATTACGCATCCTTGGAAATATTCTTATATCAAGTCTTACACTGCACACGGTAAACATGTCCAAACACTAAGTATACAATTTGCATTTTTGGTGGGTTTAGGTTTTGCAAACTAAACTGACTGGAGACACATGAAGAGTTTCTGTCTTTCGTCACTTAGTAGCCGTGTTTTCACATAATTGTCAAGAAAATTTGAAACAAATTTTTGTAATGTCGCAATAGATTTTTAAAAAAAGAAAATGCAAATCTCGTTTGTGTAAAGGCTGCGTAGTTTCATCAGAAGGTGGCGGTAAAGGCTATGTTGAACATGGCTCTAATAAAGAGAGTAGAAGAAGCTGGAGGCAAAACTTACTTCAGAACTGCTAAAAAACCTTGAAGAAGAAAGAAACAGAACTTTGGCATCTATGAGAGAAAAATCTACAGTGATTGCTATCAGTTGAGAAAGTTCTAATTATTCTTTCATGTCAGCTCATATCAGCTGTATTTTATACTGTCTAAAAACAAAGACCGTGAAAGATGCGGCAATACGTGAATTTTTGGGAATTAAATGTTTGTTACGTCAGATCATGTTCAACGAAGGTGCTTCCATCTCCTGTGACGTACATTGCCTCTTACATTCATCCAGAACCATCTCAAGCAGACATGAAAAAAAAGTGTTTTTTTGCAACATTAAGGAAGTTTTTTTTGTTGAATTTTGCCAATTTCCATCACCTTTCTCAAACACAGTGCTTAAAAATGTGCATTAAACTATGTTAAAGGAACCCAGCTAGTGAGTTCACGTGAAGATTTTAGGACCAAGTCTCAGAATTACAGCCATCATTGAACAAAAAGTCATTTTTTTCTGGAGAAGTCGTCCAGTAGTCCAGTGTAGAGGTATAATTTCACTAAATAAATACAATATGCACCTTTAAAAGTCATTTAAAGCTCATTGGCAGCAGTTTAAAGCATAATTTAAATGATCTATCTGCATTTTTGAAATTGAAACATTACCCTCAGATCTGTCAGTGTGCCTCTGGTAGCTGGAGCTTGTTTCTTCACTTGACAAGACCATCAATAATCAATGAGGGATTTAATTGTGTAACCTCTAAAGCATGTTATGTGTGAAAAAAAAAAAAAAAAAAAGTCCTTGAATTTAATGTCAACTTTTGACTTATAGCGTTAATCAAACGTTTTAAATCTGTTGTGTACAAAAAGTTGATTCACAAATGTGAATTGCACAATAAACCGCAACAATTCCAATAACACTTAGGCTGCCATCTTATCTAATAAAGGTTTCTCACGGGAATATTTTAGGATTGCCTGAAGTCTTCTCAGATTAACATCGTGAATTACGTCTTTAACAAACTATTACGCACGACATTTTCGTGCGTAAAAGTGAAACCCGGTAAATTACGCACCGTAAAATTTGGCACACTCGAACATGAGGAGTTATGTGAAGCGGTGGAGGATGTGGAAGTGTGAGCAGGTACGCACTCACCCGTGAACCTGGCTTCTGCGCCGACACTTGAGGCAGGTAGCAGAGAAACAGAGGCGCCAAAAAGTACGAGGAGGTGAAAAGGATGAAACTTGACAATAACATAATGGAGCGGCGGTGAGCGCAGAGCAGCGAGCGGCAGGTTGGCTGAGCGCACAGTGTGTCCGTCTGTCACACTGATGACCAACAGGTCCAAACTGGTGGGAGAAAAATAACTCACTCCAAAAGAAAGAAAAACACTATTCTCCTTCTAATAATTTCCCTTTTGACTACTTCTCCGATAACTATTCACATAGTGCCACGCGTGGGATGAGAAATCACGACTTGACGGAGACCATTGTGATTTGGTTTTTTATCCACTGCGGGAGGATCAGCTGTTCATCACGGCTTCCACAGGTTGAGTAGCGCCCGTATCCATTGCAACTTCATTTAAAAGCGCAGGAGGGAGCAGCAGCGTTGACTGACACTCCAGCTGTCCAATAGCAGGCGGGGAAGGCGGTGAGGCCACGCCCACTTTAAACTCCAGCCTGACTCTGCACAGAGGTTTGGTCAGTTAGGAGAGAGGAGCAGCAGAGGCAGCAGCTGCAGGGACACTCAGTGTATTATCAACAGTCTTTGAGAGCAGAGACAATGGCTGAGCAATTGTGAGGTCAAATTTTAGGTTCTCATCCCCTTTCAGAGACGTATAATGCTCTATAATAGCCGAGTATCCTGCTGCCGTGACATTTAGCCTGTGTACTTGGGTTACAATGGAAAACATCTATTGAGTAAAGTCAATAGCTGTCACAAGCACCGCAGGGGGTCGGCCTGTGTTTGTAGATTTGGCCTCAGTGTGTGTGTGTGTTTTAGTGGGATCAGGATTCAGTGGTTGATTAAGCAAAAAACAGATGTCGGTGCCACTTTATCCCTAATTACTGGCAGTAATTTAACTGGTTTTTAGGAGTAAACTTCATTTTGTGGAAGAGAAAATCACAGAGTAGGCCCAAGACTTTTTAACAATCCAACTAAATAACATGTTTGTCCTTTAAAAAGGCCCTGACAAGGAGCTGGTTTGAATTTATAGTAACAAAAAACATGAGGAATTCATGATTTGAGACAATAATACAGTGATATTGAGCCATATCGCTACCGTACCTTATAAATGTGTTTGCAACTTTTGCACTAACATTCTTGTACGATTCAGAAAATAAACCCTGAAATAAATGCTTTTCCAGAAAATTGATGCTGAAAGACGGAGTATATCACAATACAGCAAATGTATGAATAATTACATCCAGAATCATATTTAATATATTATATAATAGTTTAGAATGTGAAAGAAAACCTTCATTTGGCCAGCAAAGATTTGTGAAAGAGGAAGACAATGTTGTCAGTAAAATCCACTATATTCAGTGCAATTACATTTAACTGTGTACTTAACTCAAGATTCAAGATTCAGGAGTTTATATTCGTCACATACTCACACAGTACTGGCAGTGAAATGTAACATGACTGTTCTCAAGGCTGTGCAGTAACAAAAAGACATTATAAGAAGAGAAAAGTGTCATAAATAATAATGGGGTAGACAATTTGATGGTATACTTTACCTCATTGGATGCTGCTGTATAGTTGTACTCGTCTTTGTTTCAGGGGAAATCCTGCACTTTATGCTCAAGTATCTTTGTTTTCCACTTGTTTTGCATTTTAGGATCATGTACATAAACTATGGTGCTGCTTTATAGTATTCTAGTAAGTACATAAAACAGGTTAAATGGAGACACTGCAGGAAACTCTGTTGATTACTTGCATGACGACAAAGATTTTTCTTGTTAAAAGTTTTTGGAAGTGTTATGTTATAGTGGATTATTTAGGTATGATGTGTCTAAAAATGTCCTCGTTTGCATTAGCTTGGATAAAGCAAGCTTCCAAATTCTGGTTTCATTTTAGTAAAACATAGTATCATATATGAACAAACCCCTGTGAAACATGAGAGAGTTTGATATATTGATTTCTGGCTCCAAATATTAGGGGAGAAAAAAACTCATTTTCAGAAAGTAGTGTTTAGGAAAGTGCACTATAATTAGAATCTACAGACAGAAATAGACTAAATGCACTAAAATGAACAGTTAAATGTGTATTTTGGATGTTTTGTTCCCATTAGTCTGAAAACAAATCTCAAAAATGAGCAGTGATGATAAAGAACACCTTAAATGAGACCCAGTTTGAAGGATGCATGACTTCATTAGTAATAATACTCCAATACAACACTATAATAGTACCATAATCTTGTCTTGTGGGTCTGTTATGTTCATTTTTCTGATAGTTGACTCTTTAACTTGTAATGAACTACCTTCATAATGCAGTCGTGCTACTTTAACTTCAGTAAATCATCTCCTGCACCGATCAGGTTGTGTTATTGTGCAGCCCGACGGGAAAGCTCGCTAAATGAACTCATAAAACTGCTCCCACACTGTAGTCGTCCCACAAAACTCTCAACTTCTGGCTCCCACGTCCTCTTCCCCTCTGCGCCGCTCTCTTTCTCCACCTTTTTCCCCCTTTCAGATAAATTGTGTGGCCCATTGAGAGGATAAAAAAGAAGGAGGAGAGAGCAAAGGGAAGCAGCGCTCGGTGCAGGTGTCCAAGCTTCAGTTCAGCAACCCCTCGATCCACAGAAAACCGGGCTTTTAAGAGCTGAAAAGGGCCATCCGGTCACCCCCCTCCCCTCCGTCCAGTCCCCCTTCTCCCAGTCTTTGTCCCTATAGATATTTTTTAATTGTTGGTTTTGACAGTTCAGCGGCTTTTTGAGTGCCTCAGTGAAGAACCCTGTAATTAGAGCTATTGAGCCTCTGGAATTGGCACAATTAGGGTCAGCATTAATGATTTCTGTGTGCGCCGGCCAGCTTCTGTAAAGGGGGTATTTTCTCAGAAAGGATGGAGAGAATCTGTGAAGAGGGTCAGGCCAAATGGGAGAGGAGAAAAAGGGACGCATAAATGAGCCGGAGAACTATCTGGATTCTTATCAGAGATGCACCAAACTGTTTCTCTCCTCGCCCCCCTCCGGCCGGTCCACTCATGGCCCGGTGTGAGTGGAGTGGATGCAGTGGGAGGTGAGGACGTGGAGCAGCGAAGGGGCAGCAGGAGTGTCTCTTGGAATGTTAACGAGATCAGTTTATATCTGCTCGTCCCTCCACCCCGAACAAAGACAGACAGAGTTTTTTTTGTTTTTTTTTTCTGGGGTGCAAAGCTTGTTGTAGGGAAAGCATGAGCTCGACACTTTAATTCTGTTGTCGTTTGGCCGCACATGAAAGGAAAACCTCTGACAACAAAAACAAAAAAGGACTGAATGGGCCCGCTGAAAAGAAATGTACTTCCCAATTACTGCGGCGGCCTTTTCCAAAGACGCAGTCCCCCCGCCGGCTTACACCAGCTACATACGGCAGAAAATTAGCAGGTGTCTGTGGACGCAGAAACAGACGGAGGCCACCCAGAGATGTGACGGCCTGCAGAGAGGGCTGGGCCTAGCACAGATGTTCAGCCATGATGTCACATGGACTAAAAGTACAGTTCGGATGAGTGTCGGTGCTCAGAGTTATAACAGAGGAGCAAATTACAGCAGGTCTCCTGGTATTATTACAGTAGTTGACAGTTTAATTAGACTAGATTCAACTTTATTGTTGTTGCACAGTTAATAAAATGCAGTTCAGCATCTAACCAATGCAAAAAAAAAAGAAGTGCATAAATACAATATGTTACACTATGAACAGAACGAACAGTATGAACACACCAATATATGAATATGTGCTGTAGGTGTGGATGCAGTTTAAAGTATATAGTCTGAATGTGCAGGTAGAGATAAATAGTCATATAAACAGTGTACACAGTATCACTGCTATGAGATAAATACATAAAAAATAACTGCAGTATATGCACAGAAAGAACTGCAGGAAATGCAGTTTGAACTACAATATATGCACAGAATGAATGTTAAAGTATAATACTCAGCAGGCTTTTCAAAATAAAAGCTGCATTTACGCCTGACATTTACTTGTATTTTAGTAGCTTCACAATAAGCCTTCAGTGGGGAAATGTGCAGTGTTACAGCAGCAAACAGGAAACGTTTAAGAAATATCAATTGAAAAAAAACTAAAAATAAACTAAAGTTTAGATTGTCCAAACTCCGCTGGATGTGGAAATAACAATATTGCACATATCAGTGTTATTGCTCAGATTCTGTCATGAGCAGAAAGACTGACGGAGAAATACTAATGTTGCACAGATTTGTGTATTTGTAGAAAAATGTTTATGTCACAGAGTTCTGTGTACAATGTACAAAATGTGTTGATATTGCATGAGAAAGAGGTTTTTTGGTGTGCAGGGAGCAGTCCTGGTTGTAGACTCTGACAGCAGCAGGAAGGTTTTTAATACAAAGTTTGTTGTAGTTTGTAGCTGTGCAGAGGTCAAAGTACTCGAGTACTTCCATGTTGTGCAACGTCATACTTCAACTAATCTGCATTTCATATGTAAACGTTGCACCTTTTACATTTATTTTACAGCTATAGCTACTTGTTCCCTAAGTACAAGAACTACTAACATTTTTAGTTGTTTGTCGAATAATTTGATGATTATTTTCTTTATTAATTGTTTGGTTTATAACAAGGTGACAATGTCGATCAGTGTTTCCCCGAAACCCAAGACGACCAATGTGTTGTCTTGTCAACAACCCAACGATGTTCACTTTACTGTCATGGAGGAGGAAAAAACCTGAAAATATTCACATTGAAGATGCGGGAATCTGAGAATTTAGACGTTTTTCTCAGACAAACTGGTGGTTAATTTAATACCTCACAACTCATCATGTTATTTATTTGCACTGTAAGAGTTCTGACTTATCTTATTCTAAATCCTTTTTTAAACTCTATTTTATTTTGATTTTTTTCATTTTCAATATAGTGCAGTATTTGTATTGTAGTGTAGTATTTCTTCCGTGGCCATGCTAAGTTTAAGTTAGGTGTGTTCTGTGATCCTTTCATCTATTCATCTTCGACTAATTGATTAATTGTTGGAGCTCTAAAGCATACAGCAGGATGAACTCCAATAATCTGACATAAATTATCCCTAACATTATGTTTATTCGTACTTGTTCAACGGTTTGGAGTCATATTATTGCGTTCTAGCTCACAGCATTGAAATGAAACGTACAAGTTAATGTAAGGAGGTAATAAATACGTATTATACTTCTAAAATAGGTGCATTCAAAGTTGTATTTGCAGTGTGTGGTGTAATGTTTTCCTTTCTTCACTGCACACTGGGACTAAATCTTGTAGTTTTTCCCTTTTTTCAATCGTCAGACAGTTACTTTTTACTTAAATTGCCAAAATTCATTTATTAAAAACTCATTTGTTGGATTTTCAGTCTTCC